CTATTTATACATATATCATTTTCTTGGAGCTAGAGGACGTGTTCAGGCTAATGTACAGAATGGAGATTGACCTTGTCTCTGGAGGGAACTAAAAACTGAGGCCTTGTCTATTTAAAATGCTTTCCTGAGCCTGACTAGAGTTTAGTGAAGCAGTCTCTAGGTAGGCAAAATCAGGTGAAGTTAGTTTGGTCCTTACACTAAACCACTGAGAATTCTACCCAAGTCAAGTTGACACAAAACCTTTACTATCACAAGGGTCTTCCTCCTTTTCACTGACCTCCACTTATCCAAGCATGATGTCCTCCAGGGACTGGTCCCTCCTGATGATGTGCTCAGCTTGTGGTTGTTGTTATTAAGTGCCATCAAGTCCGTTCCGACTCACAGCAACCCTATATAGTGTTCCGAGGAGCAGATGGTGTGTTTGAACTGCTGGCCTTGTGTTTCACAGTCTAGTGCTGATCCTACAGTGCCCCACCAGGATCTCCAGATATTTGCCTTGTAGCTTCATCTTCACATGGCCATCTTTGCTCTGTGTCTCTCTCTGTGTCTGTTCTCTTTCATAAGGACAGTACCCTGATGAGATTGGTACACACTGTACTCTGCTGTGACCTAATGTTAACTGATAGCATCTTCAGAGGCCTTATCTCCAAATAAGGTCATGTTCACATGTACCAGGCATTAAAGCTTAACTTCTTTTGGGAAGATACAATTCAATCCAAAACAACCCCTTTGAGGATCTGATGAAAAACTTTTTTTTTTTCAATTGAAAAATTTTATTATGTTTTGGGTGAGCATTTACACAGCAAATTTTGTTGCTTTTTAACAGTTTCTACATAAGTTATTCAATGATAGTGGTTGTATATTTCATTATTTCTGTAATTGGTTGGTCAATTTATGGTAATCTAGTTTGCCTGCCCTCTTGCCTTCTCATCTTTGCCTTTGAGTAAATTCAAGGGGGCTTGAAAAGGTTCATGGAAAGGTTTTGTTACCTTTCAATTCCATTTTTCCATGAGCTTTTCAAAACCCCACACATTGGTCATTTGATGTCACATCTATCATTTTCTTAAGAATCACAGTATATACTGATGATATTTTATAAGCCAACCTGTCATTGAGCTAAGAGATATGACGAAATCTTTAAAACCTCTTCCCAGAAAAGATTTTATACACAATGACACATGTCATCTGTCATATGTCACTGACTACTTAAAATTCACCATGTGAATTCACTTAAGAACTGCTGGTAAATGCTTCCCCCTTCCCCCATAAGTTACAAGCATTTCCTATGCCATTAAAGATCCATTTGAAACATGATTTTTCAGGGCTATATGACTATCCCACCAATCTGCTGTTGACATTTAGGTTAACATCCTTATACCTGAATCTTTGTGTGTTTTGACAGATTTCCTTAAACTAAATTTCTGAATACAAAGTTATTAGGCCAAAGCCTGTGAATGTAAGACTTTGGTTCTTATTGTCAGGTTTTCCTATGAAGTTCCTCACCATCAGTTTCTTCTCACGGTCTTCAACGTTGTTGTTGTTGTTAAGTGTCGTCGAATCAGTCCCGACTCATAGCAACCCTGTATAGAGTTTCCGAGGAGGACCTGGTGAGTTTGAACTGTCAACGTTACGGTTGAAACCCACAAAAACATTTGTTGTTGTTAGGTGCCATCAAGTCAGTGCTGACTCATAGCGACCTTATGCACAGCAGAACAAAAC